ACCGCCCGGGGCTTAGATGGTTTTTCGGTGCCAGAACTAAAAGCCATGCCTCATAACCTTCAACTCATGTTGTTGTCACTTTTGAACCATATCACTTGTACAGGGAAATGGCCTGATAAGCTTTATGATGCAACTGTAGCGTTACTTGCCAAAATAGCGCAGCCGGCAAGTGCCAAAGATGCAAGGCCTATCACTGTCCTTGCAACGTTGTACCGCGTGTGGGCACGATGCATTGCTGCTAAGATATATTCCCATTTGTTACCCTTTCTGCCGCCAGAGTTGTACGGGTCGATACCAGGCAAATCTGCAATGGATCTTGCTTGGATCCTTCAGAATGAGGTAGAGACGGCGCTTCATACCAATCAACATGTAGCTGGGTTCTCCCTAGATTTAAGCAAGGCATACAACACTATCTCTAGGCACGCTGTTCGTGTCTTGGCAAAGCGACTTGGTTGGCCGGAAACGGTCATTGATGCATATCAGAACTTTTTGTTCGGTGTCCGCCGGCATTTCCGTGTTGCAGAGCATCTGTTTCCACCCCGCGTTAGCAAAGTAGGAGTTCCAGAGGGTTGTCCGCTTGCAGTCTTGTCCATGATTATCGTTACTTGGGCAGTTTCTGGGCAAGTTCAGGCTTGTCATGACATACCGCTGCGCTCCTATGTTGATAACTGGCGTGTCCAAGCACCTTCCCCGCAACTTGCGTGTGCTGCTACAAGTACTGTTGCTGCCTCCACGCAAAAACTGGGTATGACTCTGTCCATGGATAAACTAGTAGGGTATGCTACGCACAAAAAGTTTCGTGGTTTTTTGCGGCAGTTTGTTCTAGAGGGGTCTAGAGTCACTGTTGCGCATGATTTTGCGGATTTGGGTGTACAGTTTTGCGCTCGGCGTGCTGCGTGTGCAAAAGGGGTTCAAGACAGGGTTGACCGAAACGGCGTCAAACTTGACAGACTCCAAACCATGCCCTGGAGTCTCGCCAGAAAAGTTGCTTGTTTGACAAAGTTTATTTTCCCGTCAGTTTTTTATGGGTCTGAGATCAGTTCGGTGTCGGTCTCTGCACTTAGGGGCTTCAGGGGTAAATGCAACAAGGCCTTGTGGGGCCCGAAGAACCAGCGCAATCACTTTTTGGCCCCTTTGCTTGGTGCAGGAGAAGTGTATGAGCCTTTTTTATACGTCTTCAAGAAGCGTTGGGCCACTCTGAAACGCGTGTGGGCACGATATCCGAGTATTTGCTGTAACTGGAACGCTTTGCTTGAAGGCCCAGCTCTCCAGGGTGGAGGCCCGTTGACGTACTTTTTTGCTGACCTTCGTAGCGTAGGGTGGGATCCGCTTCCTGATGGCTTGATTGCCGTTCCTGACCATGACAATTTGAGTATACTTCTCTCTAATTGGGATGTTGTGTACAGTCAAGTTCTTGTCGCCTGGCAACGTCATGTTGTGACAAAAGTACAGGGCTATAAGGGTTTGCAGGGGCTTTCGGGTTTTTCGGTCTCTTTGGTTCGTGGTGTGCTCAGCACAGATCAGGGTTATGATGCCCAGGTTGCAAACTATTCTTGTGGCGCGATTGTGCCTGCGTCCAGACGCAAGCACTTTACTTCACAGGATGATCTGCAGTGCCCGTTTTGTCAAGCTGAACTTTCAATTAAGCACATGCTTCTGGGCTGCCCGGCCACCTTGCAGTGTCGGGAAGCGCTGCAGATACCGTCAGATTTGTCGGACTTTGAATTGCTGTGGGGCCTGTTTAGGACCCCGCCTGAAGTTGAACAGTACCACACCCTTTTGCGTGATCTTAATTGGAAGCCTGTCCCTAAACTTTTTGTAGGTCAGGAGGTTCATTTGTTTACAGATGGGTCTACGCAGCAACCTAAAAACTCCATTCTCAGCCTGTCTGCTTGGGCTGTCGTGCTCGCAGAACCTGGGAAGTTGAATGGGGCCTGCGTGCTGCGTGACTTTGTCCCGGGGCAGCATCACACAAACAACAGGGCGGAACTTTATGGAGTGCTGGCTGCAGTTCTTCTTGGGGACGGGGGTACTGTCTACTCTGATTCAAAAATTTCCGTTGATGGTTTTGGTCTGTTGTTAAAATATGGCTTCGATGCACTCGTGCGGTCACAATACAGCAACTTAGACATTTGGTTTGCAATCCATGAAGCCCTTTTGCAATGCCATGGTACTTGGCGAATCGTGAAAGTTAAAAGTCATCAAGCCTGGCACTCGGCGCCTGACGACTGGCATGCTTGGCTATGGTATCATAATGACATGGCAGATGAATTTGCTAAAGCAGTTCTCCTGCCGAAAGATTGCCCAGCTGTGCAGCACCACCGGAGCGCAGTTCAAGCATTTGACCGCACTTGCCGCGCGCAGCGATTGGTTTACAAGTTGCACCGAGGGGTTGCTGATGTTTTCCAATCTAAGTCCCGCATTACGAAGCAGGCCCCACATGACCTGTTTTCTGATCGTTCTTTGCAATCTTTGCAAGCCCAATTTCAAGATAGAGTTGGTATGATGGTTGCTGATGTAGGTGTTGTGTTTCCGAAAGGCTGCCTCCCTAACTGGGATACCTTCTTGCTTTGTGCACCCTTTGCGCAGCTGCTCTTTGCTTGGTGTTCACAATGCTGCTGGGTCCCGGACGAGCAAGGTTTCTCACTTGTAGAGTTTTATCTTGCCTTCACCAGGGAGACGGGATGGCTCGCCCCTGTAAACGTGGCTAGTTGGGAGGCTGCTGCCAAACCTGCAGGTCTAAGGGATACACTTGTCAAAGCGGCCTGGGTGCATGAGGTGCAGTATCCACAGATATCTTTGTGTGCCCAGCCCTTGACGGCGCAACTGTTGGTTTTTTCGCACGTGATTCGTGCAGTGTTTTTGGCGTGTCAATGCCCATGGAAGCCCAGAGCGATGTTTGCTTTGCGTTGGCTTGGGGTCCCATGCAAGGTGCCCGCACTGACCATGCGACCCCAGTATCACCATGTTGGAGAGGTTTGTCAGAATTTATCTAGGTTATTCACCGGTCGGAAGTATCGGCAAGTTCTCAAACAGGGGTATACAGTTGTACAGAAACCAGTGGCTGCACAGATTCCCTTCCGGTCCCCTCGTGAGATCTTTAATGCTCAAAGGCGAGCCCACAGGCAGGCACGCTAGGCTACGAGCTGCTAGTTCCGTTTCTGTTACGTAGTCGGTTCCCAAGTGGTTGCTTCGGAACTGTCCGCAAGGATGCATGCATAAACCCTAAACCCTAAACCCTAAACCCTAAACCCTAAACCCTAAACCCTAAACCCTAAACCCTAAACCCTAAACCCTAAACCCTAAACCCTAAACCCTAAACCCTAACCCTAAACCCTAAACCCTAAACCCTAAACCCTAAACCCTAAACCCTAACCCTAAACCCTAAACCCTAAACCCTAAACCCTAAACCCTACAAGAGACCTTTGCTCCCAAAAGTACCAAGTAAATATCGTCATTCCAGAAGACTTTATCTCGGAGATACCAGACGCACTACATCAGAACCTCCTTGCAGGTAAGATCACAATTATTACTCGTAATCTCAAGGGAAAAGACCCACCACCACCCCGAATTACGAGACTACGAGGAACAACGCCAGAAGAGAGATAAAAAGGAGGCTCATCCAGAAAACTCCTACCGCCTCCCTTACTTAGAAGACAATATACATCAACCCGCAGAAGCGCAAACGTGGTGGGGCGTGGGCAACAGATATGGCGGCAACGATGGCATCAACAGCGTATGGACGTCAATACCATCTTTTCAGGCCTCCTCCTTTCGATCCGACACACAAATTAAGGAATTGATCAATGGAATCAGGTCCTGCCAGTGATCAGACACGATCATGCGTTGATTATTGAGGGAGCTATGAAGTCCCCTTAACAAATCAAATGCCAATCTGGTCAAACAAGGAGCTGGAACAACCGCCTTGCAGCGAACAGACACTTGCTCAACGCCTCTCTGAAATGCATAGGACCGCTCTTCAAGATCCTTGACAGATCGTGACGCGAGGTAACCGCCATCCCAGGCATACTCATCCTGGATGTGTTGCAATCTCAAGCCTTTTTCCGACATGGCAACTACTCACTGCACGGCTGCGCGGTCACATCTCTCAGCTGCGTGTTGCTTCGAAGGTGGATGCCATTGAAGTTTTTGGTGGAACCTGATCTCCACTTCCAATACTGCAACAGTGCAGGGAGCCTATCAAGGAGGGAACGTAAGACTTTCAGAGGTTTAAAACATGCCATGAGCCGCAGCGAGTTCGCTGGAAGGTACTTTGGATGCCAAGCAGAACAGCTTTACGCATTGGACTTGGCCTCTCGGCGGCAATCCTGGAAACGCACTGGCCGAGAGCATCACAGCTTCAGCATTCGCACCAAGCAAGCTGAGCTGCTGGCAAACCACCCTAGAACAATGTGCAAAGGAGTGTTGAAACTGTCCCAGAATGCTAGACATGTGTGACATTCTGGGCTCTATAGCACCCTTTGAAAAGCAGCCTTTGTCAACACCTGATGTCGGATAAAATCACTCAAGATGACCCTAAAAGTGACCCAAGCTGAATTGTTTTCCCAAGCAGCATCGATAAGCTTAGCCATCAGCTACTCCAGCGTGCAGTGTAAACAGAAGCCTCTCAATGGTTTTGCTTGGAGCATCTTGGGCCCACTCCGCTGCACTGATGTTGCGTGTGCGCATGGAGAAGAGTCCTGCTTGGCACCATTGCTGTTTAGCCAGCAGTGCAAACTCCTTCTGTGTGGTGACCATGGAAAGCTCATCATAGCAAGTCTGCATATCCGCGAGCATGCTGGCATAACGCTTGTCCACCCTACTCAGCCTTTCCTGCATATCTGGGCGGTAGATGGCAAACTCAGCTGTTTCACCAGCTTGCACAATCTGAAGGAGGTCCTTGTCAGAAATGCCCTCTGGCCGCGTGAGTGGAAACTTCCAGGCTGCATTTACATAACTTGGGCACTTGACCTTCACACGCCGATATTCTGCGTCACAGA